AAAAAAAAAAGTCGGATGCTGAACTGACTGAGCCACCCAGGGGTGCCTTTTCCAAATTTCGATGAGGCCACTGTGGCACTGGAGAGACAGCTGGTGTGAGGGGAACAGGGAATAGCACCCAGTCTATCTGTGCTGTTGATCACTGCCCTCTGGCTGTCTCACAAGGCACTACTCCATGAATTAGTTATAGACCCAACCTTCAAAGAACTCCAGGACTAATGGAAATATGAAAGCTACACAGAATTTAATTTAAACATAAGATACAAAGCAGTAACTCATATTGAACCTTTGTCAAATGTACCTTTCTACTGCACAACCCCAAGATGTTCATTGGAGTGAAGGTAGTTTGCTTAAATTATGAAGGAAAAGAATAAAGAAGTCTTAAAATTGCATGAAAATTGAGATCACGCTATTGGGGTTCAGTTGAAAATTACAAAAAGAATTGTTTTGGCCTTCTGGGAAGGAAACCCACCGTGCAGCAATGTCCATCATCTCTTTAGTAGTGCTTTAGGTCTGAGCAGAGAGGTTTGCTGTCACGGCAGGGTCTTTGGTGACAATCCTGTCCCCTGCCTGATGGACTGGCGCTCATTATGGCCACCTTTTCCCAACTGTGCCACTGACCTCTGGGGGTTCCTCAGCTGGGCCACAGCCATTTCACAAAGTTTAAGTGATTATGTTTGGAGCATTTCTTCAGAGATATGCAGTATTGTATTTGTTAAAAGAAGGGGGAAATTACAAGGAGAGTCATGGAAGATTTTTATGGAGAAATGTGGTAATGAAACCTTTCAGTGGGGGCACCTGGGTGGCTCAGTCAGTTAAGCATTCGACTCTTGATATCAATTCCGGTCATGACCTCATAGTTGTGAGATATAGCCCCACATCGGGCTCTGCACTGAGTGAGGAGCCTGTTTGGGATTCTCTCTCTCCCTCTCTCTGCCCCTCCCCAACTTGCACTCTGTCTCAAAAGAAAACAATCAACATTAAAGAAAAAGAAACCATTCAGTGGAATTGGAACCAGTCCTTCTTCCACTCAAAGAAGTAGACCTCATGGCTTCAAAGACATGTGTTGATAAAGAAGCAGCATTTGTTTCTGTGCCATACGGAGGGCGCAACTAGCAGTTCTGTGGGTGAGTCCAGGCCAGAGTTATTGGTTGACAAGAGCCTCGGGATGCCGTTCAAAGCACCCAACAGCCATTGTCAGGTCCTGCTGCATCGTCTCTTCCATTTTTCTTGGCCCTTTCAGCTGGCTCTCCTGAGTCTCCCTGGCTGTGCTGTCCGGTTTACAACACTCAGAGCTCTGTATGTGGAAGGATATTAATCCTTCACAGGCACAGCCGGTTTTCCATTTCATTAGTAGACTGTGGAAGAGCTGCAACATCATGGATATTCTTTGAAAGGTTCATTTCACTGGCACTTATTTTTGTCCTTGCTGAGAATGCTGTGTTTAGGAAAACATAATGAGAAAATTCTCTTTGGATTAATTTACTGAGAAACTACATAAATCAAAACATGCATTCTTTGCTTAGATAACAAGGAAAGTTGCTCTTTTGGCAAGAATAATCCACTTTATGAACACGTAAGCAAAAGGCTATGTTTTGACTAGCAGTTGTTGTTTGCCTCTCTGAAAAATTATAATAGTTGAATTTGATGTAAGAGGTGTTAGAAATAGAACATGTGTCTCGGCAGTGAAATTTGAGAGTGTTATGTTTTCAGATGTTGAAATGTAAATAATCAGTGAGTGAGTTGAATGTGGACATTATTCTTATCCCCAGGGATATTCAGTAGTCAGATTGCTTACTCCTGTCTCTAGCAAGGGAGCATCAATCTGGGTTTTATCATGGTGTTTCCCTTTGGTGACTCATTCATTTGGGCTACTGAAAGGTCAAAGAATGGGAAGTGATGAAGAGAGAACTAACATTATATGAAAGTAGATATTCTGCATATCTAGTGCCTTCAGAAGTAAATCTTTTCTACATAAGATTTGATCTTGGAGAAAATAAACAAGAAAAAAAAATGGAGAGTATTTCCAACAGCTTCTAAAAGGTACTGGTAAAGTCCATGGAAAGTTTTAAAAGTTAGTACCTTTGGACACACACCTGCACACTCTAAACAGCATATTATTTCAGCATCCATCCATCCATGCATCGAACATACACTTACTGAGTGCCTGCTTCGTGTCAGTGCTCAGTTAGGTGACGGGCTGCACAGAGGGAGGGTCCCTACCTCTAAGGAGGCCAGTCTGGCGTAAACAGATTTTTGGAGAGGTGTGAATGGAGTAGCACCCTTTTCCTGTAGGAAGCGGAGAGGCTTCACAAATGAGTCGTGTTACAGAGCTCTTAATGTTGTGGTTTATTTTTGCTGATGCACGTTTACGTTGTAGGGGTTAAGTGTTACTCCTCTTCTCCTTTTTGAGTAGTTGTAACAGGTGAGGTTCATTGAGGACTTCCTGTGTTCCAGGCTGCGTGCCACACTTACCCGTGTGATCTCACTAAATCCTCACAGCAGCTCTGTGAAGCAGGT